TCTCTATCTATCTATCTATCTATCTATCTATCTCCCCCCCTCTCTCTCTCTCCCTTTCTTTCTCTCTCTCTCTCTCTTTTGCTTCTCTCTCTCTTTTCTCTTCCTCCTCTCTCTCTCTGTCTACCCATCTGTCACAGTCTCTCTTTCTGAAGAACAAAGCAACAAATAAGTTAAAAGAAAAAACTACAAACATTACAAATCAACTCAACAGCTGTTACCTAAAAAATAAACCACTTGATCAAAACATACCGAGCACATCCAGATTCACAGAGTACGTCTCGTTCCCGCCAATATTGCTGGCCAGACACACGTATTCTCCGTCGTCTGCTTCCCTCACGTCGGTCAAAGCCACCCGGCCAGGCTCCAGGTAACGGACACGGTCTGACGCGCGCAGGATCTTTCCGTTGCGTAACCATGACAACTTGGGTTTTGGCTTCCCGAGCAACACGATACATTCTAGTTCCGCTGTCTCGCCCTCCACTACTTTGACGTATGGGTAGGTGTAGGCGATAAGTGGACGCACTGGAGAAAGGAAAAAATAAAACATTCTTTAGAAAAAAAATTGAAACAATTTTTTTTTTAAATTCAAGAAAGAAAAACAATGTCTCTAACAAATCTGATCAAGGTGTGTTAGAAAGGTTCCAGGACTGGTGAACCAAAGGATACATCCCATACTCAAACCACGAACTATAATTTTTGTTCTTTCGGCTTCACGTATGCTTGGGAATTTTTACCGTATTGCGTGGCAGCGAATAGGTAAGTAGCGTCTTTTTCGATCGTTTGTCTTGTTTCACCACTAATGAATAACTAATATCTTTTAAAACAATAATGAGAATGTTCTTAGTACATCTGAACATCTGGTCGACATTTTATTGGCCTTTCGCGTGTGAATAGCCCAATATCTTTTAAATTCTTAGGATAAAGAATATTATAAATATCCCACGACTGCACAGTGCCAGGCCTCATCCGGATCGGAAAAGGGGAAGTAATCGTAGGCTGGATTCTTCGCTTTAAATAAGAACAACAATTTGTCGTGATTATTTCCCTTTGACACCTTATGTTGATTGTACAATCCTGCGGTTTTCTCTACACACTTTTTCTCTCTACCTCTTCTGTGTCAGGCTATAAGCCACGTATTAACCAGAGAATCGATAAGTATACTTGAGAAAAAAGGTATTTAAAACAAAGGACATGTATTCCTGTCACAGCAACATACCTTAACCAGACATCGGCAATCATGGTTAGCTACACGAATGCTTTTTTTTTTTTTAAAGAAAAAAGAAAAAAAAAGTAGAAGGGTCAATGAAACACTGCCTTTCAAAAACGTTTACTTTTGTTGTCATTGATGTTATCCTTGTAGATTTCAAGATTAACCATTCATATCAACCATAATAACATATTGAAAATAAATATGCATCCGTAATATCCAAACAAACGGTGACTCACCAATTCCAGTGACGCTGACGTAAGCAGAAGAGTCGGCCACACCAAAGGGGTTCTGAGCAACACACGTGTAGATTCCCTCGTCTCCCCGCTGGATGTCTGGTGAGAGAAAAACGTAACTCTCAATGATTGTAACAGCTTGTGAATAACTGTAAATGGTCAAAATTCGATGTATTGTTTCACTTGGTTCTGAATGGTAATGTAATATGGTTTTTAATGATTTCATATCATTGTATCTTGTTGGATTAATATTATTGTAAAATATGGTACATTATTATATATGGTTGTAAAATGTTGTTTGTAAATGGTTGTACATTATCATACAAGGGTGTAAATCATAATGGTTGTACATTAATGTAAATGCTTGTATAAGAATTCACATGTTTTACAAACATTTTGTCAAGGGGATGGATGTGTGCTTGTTTATGTGTTTGTATGAGCGTGTGTGCACGTGTGTGTGTGTGTGTTTGTGTGTGTGTGTGT